ATTCATTGTACCGTGCACCTAGCCTGCCGGTAGGTACCTGAGATTCACTGTACCGTGCACCTAGCCTGCCGGTAGGTACCTGAGATTCATTATACCGTGCACCTAGCCTGCCGGTAGGTACATGAGATTCATTGTACCATATTCTCTACGTTTGCGTGTATTTGAAGTTCTCCTAATAAACATCTTTAAAAGGAGAGAGAAAAGAATCACTACACAAAGAAATACAATAAAAAAATTTCTTAAATCTCTTTCTAAAAACAGGAAAACATTTTATAGGCAAACAATATTTTGCAAGTATAAGAAGAACCTCAGTAACAAGAGAAGTGTCTTTGTATCAAAGAGCTTTACCTTCGCCATCCTCGATCTATAAGATCCTGATAATCCTGTACTGTCATTGAATGTGCCCACATGCCTGAAAAAATAAGTGCCATGTGCCATGTTAATTATAGCAGGTTGAACTTTTTTTTTTTAATTCAAAGCATTCTTTTAATGTGAATATTGAAGCAAAAAAAAAATCTGGAGAAGTGAAAGTTTGCACATACTTCATACTTGTTTGACATAACATACAACACAGATGGAAAAGATATTTATCTTCATTTTAAAAATCAAACACATCTAAGTGATTATATTTAATTCAGGATTAGCCAATAGTCTCTATGGCATCATATACTTAAGGTCCTTACTGTGATCAGATTATATCACACTTTGAAGCCATAATAATATCCCCTATAATTTAATAAGCTAGTCTCTTCAAAAGAATTGAAAAGCAAATGTTTTCTGATGCATATAAATTTTCCTGATTTTTATGTTTTTAGCATAGTCTTGGATATTGAAAATAGAACAAAAGCATACAGGAACATTCCTTTTAAGTATAAAAACTGAAGGAAATCGAAATGCCCAGGAACAGAAAAGTGATTACAGGGACTATGATATTATCCATATGATGGAATAATTATGCAACCATGAAAAAAATGAAGACTATGAGAAAACATTAAAAGGTATATTTGAATTAATGTTAAAAGAAAAGTAATTTTTTCTCTTGTAAAAAGCAAACTGCATCAGAGGTATGTAGACAGAGGCAGGCTGGATAGTACAAGATGTATTCAGAAACACAAATGTCCAGAAGCCTGGCAGGCGCTCATTAACACTGAGTTATTTTATTAGCCTCAAATTCATCACCTATAAAATAGGAATAATAAAACCTACCTAATAGGTGGGGTGCCCTATGGTAAAGATGATCATAATTAAAATATATATAATAGAAATTTACAGTTCTCTCTTTAGGTGAAAAGGGTAAAAGCAGGTTTCTTCCACAGGACTTTAAACAAAGGACATCTATATTAATCAATTTCCTCTTACTAAAATTACTGGGGAGGGGCGCCTGGGTGGCTCAGTCATTAAACGTCTTCCTTTGGCTCGGTCATGATGGGATCGAGCCCCACATCGGGCTCCCTGCTCTGCGGGAAGCCTGCTTCTCCCTCTCCCACTCGCCCTGCTTGTGTTCCCTCTCTCGCTATATCTCTCTGTCAGATAAATAAATAAAATCTTTAAAATAAATAAATAAATAAATAAATAAATAAAATTACTGGGGAAATAATTAAGGATCTATAAAAATACTCACTTTAGACACCTTTAGTAGAAAGTGCTTATAACACACAGGCTGGAGTCACAATACTAAAATTCTGAAAAAGGGAGGTATCTCTAATACCCTAAGGCATCCACTGTCACCAGCTGGTGTGTTTTTCCTGGGTTTTTATCCTCCCAGAACTGTGATCATGTCACATGCGTCATTTGCATCCTGTTTTTCTCCGTTCAACCCTACACTCTAAACATTTTTCTGTTAGCTCATCTTCATAACCATCACTCCTAATGGCTGCATTATATCACATTCTGCTCCCTCTTATCTACAAGCATCTAATAAACAATTTCAATTAATGAGTAAATGGACATACCATAATCGTCCAAATCATTCCCCTGCTGTAGGGCATTTATATTTTTCTTAAATGGAAACTACGTAAATTTGTATATTCATGGTTATCCCATTTCCCACAATGCCGGACTATTCCTTAAAATAAAAGATTTTATATCTGCCAATGCATAACACGGCAGGAAATAAACATAATGTTTTGTTTACAAAAAACAAGTCTTCCGAAATAAACCTGAACCATGACGGGGGCGGGCTGTGCTGTAAACTGGCTTTGTTGTTGTTCTGGAGGTGGGTGGAGGAATGACAAGGCATATAAGCACCTGGTAAAATTTTCAAACACATTAGTACAAACAGGCTCCCTCGCCAGCAGCGCCTGTGGTCGGTCACCAGTGTCTTGTATACTCTTCCAGACATTTTATCCAGATGCCCATGCCCACATACGCACACACAGATCTTTCTACACAAATAGCCCACCCGACACGCCGCATTCTACAATTAAAATCGGGGAGGATCCCACATCAGCATCAGCACTTGAGAGGCCGGCCCCAGTGGAACTGACCGCACTACAATGCTCCCTGGCACGGCATGCTGTCACATATTTAACCGTCTCCTACTGACTGAAGACGAAGACGGAGACGGACACGTTTCCCACACTTTGGGCCACGGCGAGACAATCATTATCTAGCACGTCCGAGCACCTGCGTGAAGGACAAGCACCTAGATGCTTCCCTGATGAATCAGAGCTGAAGTCCATTTTTAATTGACAGCCACAGCCCAAACCGGCGAGTCGCGTTCTGCACACCCGCCTCGGGACAGGACCTGGCCGGGGGCTCCAGCCGCCGCGCGTCGCTCGAGCCGCTCGGCCCGGGCCAGGGCGCCGCGACCCTCGAGGACGCCCGCCGGCCACGGAGCCCCCGAGGCCGGGACGCCCTCCCCTGCCCGCCGGCCCGCTCACCATTGGAGCGACTGCCCGACTCATTCTTGCAATAGCCGCAGCGGTAGGAGTCCTCGCCCTCGAAATACTCCACGATGCTGGGCGAAAGAGCAGCCCAGGAAGCCATGGCCCCTGCCCTCCAAACGCAACGCGACCCAGCCCAGCCCCGCCGCCGTCGCCGCCACCCCACAATGCTCCGCGCCGCCTGGAGTCCCCAGAGGCGCGCGCGAAGCTGCTCGGGCGCCCGCAGGCCGGGTTCGCCAGGGGTCCCGCGCGCTGACGCCGCCCGCGCCATCTTGACCGAGGGCAGCCTTCCGCTATTTCCGTTCTTTCCCTGACCCGGACCGCCATCTTCGGTGAGGGTGAGGAGGAGAGAGGAGCGTGAAGGGAAATAGTCGGGGGAGAAACGTCTGGGAGAGGGGAGTGGGAGCTTGGGGGAGCCGGGCCTGTGAGCTCCCAGGCGAGGGGCTGGCGCGGGGCGCGGCTGGCGGCGCGGGGGTCAGACGCCAGGCGGCCGCGCCAGCCCCGCGGGCGGGGACACTCACCGCAGGACACCTTGCCCTCCTCGGAGTCGCAGTAGCCGCAGTGGTACCCAGCCTTGAGCCCCTTGTATTCCACCACCGAGGCCATGGCTGCCTCCAGGGTCCGCCGGGGCCAACCACGCCTCTCGGCGTCCTGGGGCCGACCTTGGCGGAGCGCGGGGGCCCGCGGCGGGAGGGGAGGAGGACGAAGCCTGGGGGGGTGCGTCCCAGCGCCGCGCCCCGCGCCCCTGGCTGTTCCTCAGGGTCCCGGCGTCTGCTGGTGCAGAGGCCTGCAAGAGACCTTAGCGAGGGTGGTAGTCGTGCCCCCGGGCCCCGACTTAGGGCCAGCCCTTGGCGTAATTCCTCGCCAAGCATTTCTACAGTCGCTCATTGTCAGCGCCGTTTTACAGATGAGGAAACTGAGGCACGGAGGTTGTGACTCAGTCATTTCCTGCAGGTTTCAGTGTAAAAGTTGCTATCTCGGGCCGTCCCTGACGGCCACCTGGGTAGCCAGCCCAGGTCTCTTCCAAACCAGCACGTCCGCTCGTCGATGCCATATACAGGTGCACATGCAGGTGTTGTGTGAATGGCGGGCGTAGGTGAATTGAACACGTCAACGTTTTTAAAGCAAACAACTTTCATAGCTAGTAGCCGCCCTGTGCCACTGTAAGCCTATTGCCAGCACATCTTAAAACTGAAAGAGAAGATGAAAATCTTCATTTTTTTTAATGTACAATTTTTTAATGTTATTTTTAAAGTTTGTTTTTTTTTTTTTAACTGTACAGGCCAAACGAAAGATTTATGTAGTTGAATTCAGCCTGTGGACTCCTAATTTGCAACCCCTATTTTATTTTTTATTTTTTTTATTTTTTATTGTTATGTTAATCACCATACATGACCTCATTAGTTTTGGATGTAGTGTTCCATGATTCATTGTTTGTGCATAACACCCAGTGCTCCACGCAGAACGTGCCCTCTTTAATACCCATCACCAGGCTAACCCATCCCCCCAACCCCCTCCCCTCTAGAACCCTCAGTTTGTTTCTCAGAGTCCATCCTCTCATGGTTCTTCTCCCCCTCTGACTTACTCCCCTTCATTCTTCCCCTCCTGCTATCTTCTTCTTCTTTTTTTTTTCTTAACATATATTACATTATTTGGTTCAGAGGTACAGATCTGTGTTTCAACAGTCCTGCACAATTCACAGCGCTCACCATAGCACATACCCTCCCCAATGTCTATCACCCAGCCACCCCATCCCTCCCACCCCCCACCACTCCAGCAACCCTCAGTTTGTTTCCTGAGATTAAGAATTCCTCATATCAGTGAGGTCATAGGATACATGTCTTTCTCTGATTGACTTATTTCATTCAGCATGACACCCTCCAGTTCCATCCGTGTCGTTGCAAATGGCAAGATCTCATTCCTTTTGATGGCTGCATGATATTCCATTGTGTATATATACCACCTCTTCTTTATCCATTCATCTGTCAATGGACATCTTGGCTCTTTCCACAGTTTGGCTATTGTGGACATTGCTGCTATAAACGTCGGGGTGCATGTACCCCTTCGGATCCCTACATTTGTATCTTTGGGGTAAATACCCAGTAGTGCAATTGCTGGATCGTGTGGTAGTTCTATTTTCAACTGTTTGAGGAACCTCCATACTGTTTTCCAGAGTGGCTGCACCAACTGCAACCCCTATTTTAAAGAGGATTTTTTTAGAGAGTAACAGTCTGGAGGGAAGTATAAAAATGAGTACCGCCAACAAGGTAATACTCCTTAATCTTTAGGTGCATAGATAATTTAGGATTGTCTTTATATTTTTCCTCGTCAACAGTAAAGCTGATTATCTTTTTGCAGTGTTTTAAAAAGTGAAATCATGAAACTTGGAGAAACAGGTAAACTTTTGAGGTCAGTTTTGACATTCTTGACCCCAAGGTCCACTATGTTGGATACATGCCTGCTTAAGTTGAAGAGGTTTTTTTGGTAGCCCCGTGACCTGTTATATTACTAAGCATCACTTGTGCGTCACACAGTGGGAAAAAACCCTAAGGAATAGCTATGTAGCATGTCGGAGGTTCTCAGGGCCCCTCTAGGTTTCTCTAGTTCCTCCTCAAACTTGAAGGTTCCTTGCTACATATCAGTACCCATTAAGACAGACTTCATTCGTTTTGTCCATCATGGCAGATTTGAATATTCCTGGTCCTTCCCCAGAGGCTCTCATTTTGGAGGAACGTAAAGCCCTGTGGAATGAAACAAAGACAGCAGATGCCATGCTCAGACAGAAAGTAGGAGGCCAGGAGGCTTTTTGCTTTTATTATAGTCCTGTACCGATTCACTTCTGTCTCTTTGTCCGAAACTTAGCCCAAGCCTTAGACCAACCTCTGCAAGGGAGTGCCAACCTAGAGCTATTATGTCAATGTCCTAGGCATGTGTATCCTTAGAGCAACTTCACAACAGAGGAAACGAAGACCAGAGAGGCTAAACAACCTACACAAGATCACACAACTAGTAAGAGACGTAAGAGAGTATGTGTGGAGGGCAGGGAGAGGCCAAAGGTAGAGGCTGGTCACTCCAGGTTGGTAGGTGGCAGTTTTTTTGTTTGTTTTTAGGATTTATTTATTTTACAGAGAGAGAGAGTGCGCAAGCCTACATGCGAGAGGAGAAGGGGTAGAGGGAGAGAATATCCAAGCAGATTCCCACTGAGCGTGGAGCGCGACATGGGTCTCCATTTCACAAGTCGTAAAATCAGGACCTGAGCTAAAACCGAGAGTCCGATGCTTAACCTACTGAGCCACCCAGGTGCCCCCGTTAGTGGAAGTCTTAATAAGCGAAGGGAACTTACGTATGAGGCTTGTCTTGGGCAGCAGCAAGATGAGTGGATCCCCACACAGACATACTAGCCGTCGCTGTTGAGTACCTGAATCTTAAAAGTTTGTATAGTGGGGCTCCTGGGTGGCTCAGTTGGTTGAGTGTCTGCTTTTGGCTCAGGTCATGATCCCGGGGGTCCTGGGATCAAGCCCTGCATCGGGCTCCCTGCTCAATGGGGAGCTTGCTTCTCCCTCTCCTTCCTGCTCCTGCTCTCTCTCTCTCTCGCTATCTCTGTCTCTCAAATAAATAAAATCTTTAAAAAAAAAAAAGTTTGTGTAGAGAGAGGCCTTAACTGGGTCCAGTCAAGTGTACTGTGCAGGTGTTCTCACCATCACATCATTATGTCAAGGCAATATCCTTGCAGCAACCTCTGGGAGTGGAAGAGGCAAGTGGGACCCACATTCCAAGGACAGGGGTGGAGGCGAGGAACCTCTGATCACCTGGGTCCAGCTCATGGGTCAACTGGTGGTTACATCTTTTCAATGACCTTCCACAGCAGAGGGGGAAAGGTGATAAAAATAAAATTGTGGAAAAGAAATCAACAAAGACCACAGGGCAGTGGTTCCTAGATGTCTTTATTTTGCTGAAATTTAGAGACAGTAAGTTTTCATCTTCCAGGCCTAAATGAGAAAAATTAAGCAGAGCTTCAGTTTCCCCCTTTTTGTGTACAGACATGGGAAGAGGACATTATTAGAATGTTCTTTTATTCATGAAATTGCCAGCAATAGATAGCTGTCTTTACTTTTAATTTCTTACTTAATGAAATGAAATGCTGGCAACACTAGCATGTGTGGACCCATTAATGTTTTTTATACTACTGAGTGTGATATCAAGTCTGCAAAGCTGAGTGAAACTCAGTACAAGGCCCTGATGATGTGAAGGAATCTGCATGGGATAGGCCTAATTCATGTCCCTTAAAGGGAATGATGTGAAACACATTTCATTTTTTCTTCTGAAAAAAGTGTTTGAGTTGGGGCCTAAGTTAAGTCAGGGAAAAAAGAGTAAAATACAGAAAACCTGAGGCAGGGAAGAGGGGCATTCTAGGAAGGAGGTGTGGCATGAGCAGAGAGACAGGGTGTTGGATAGGAACACGAGGGGTCTCAGGTGCTGGTGATGGTGGAGTCCTAGAAGATGCTTTCCTTGTGGGCCATTCACTGCCAAGATGCCTCAGATTTGACTTTTCCCTCCCAACATGTAAATATGTGCTCTCCAAATCGGTAGTGTAAAAATTAATAAGAGAAACCTCATTTAGAATGAGAGTGAGAGAGCTCTCATGCCCTTACCATTAATTGCAGACCCAACAGTAAGAAACATCTTGCAGGGTAGATACTATTTTACTACCCAGCAGGAGGAAGAAAGTTCTTTCTCTTCCCCTGGCAACAACCCAGGCAATCCACTCTACTTCAAAACTCCAAAGGACTTTTTGTTTATTACCACCCTCCTAAATTCCTCCTTTCCTCTATAAAACAGGGTTCCTCTCCTTTGTTTTCTGGACTAGCCTGTGGTTTTGCTGTGGCTTGCTTATCCAAGATTGCAGTTCTCTGCTATCCTCAAATAAACCCATTTTTGCTAGGAAAATAACTGACAGTTTTATTTTTAAGATTAACAGTAGCTAGTACCCACTCATGGCTATTGAGTACCTAAAATATGCCTAGTGAAGCAGGGGAACTGAGCTTTTTATTTTAATTTATTTAAATTTATTTGAATTTTTAAATTATAGTGGTGTAAAACATGAGGCAGGATAAATGCCAAAAATGTAAGCATAATCATATTCAAAATGTGTA